CTGGTGTTCTGGGGGGTCCCCCCAACCTCTTTTACCCCTCACCAGGTTTGCCCTGGACTGGCAGCCGGAGTTGGGGCTCCTGCAGGTCCTGGGGGGTCCCCGGGGGGCCGAGACCCTCTGGACGCTGAAGCTGGACCCGGGGTACCCCCGGAGTGGGGGAGTGTGGCTGCTGCCTCCCCCCGAGGGTGCCCCCCCCATCCCTGTGAGTCTTCTGAGGGGGTCCTGGGGGGATCTGGGGGTCCCTGGGTGGGGGTTGAGGGGATCTATGGGGCAGGTTGTGGGGTCTGGGGGCAATTTGAGGGTCTGGGAGGGCACCTGAGTTCTCTTAGAGGCAGTTTGGGGGATGGAGGGGTCCTAGGGACGCTGGGGGGTCCTTTGGGGTGGTTTTGGGATCTCTGGAGGGCACTGAGGCGCATTCTAGAAGAGGTTTTATGGGGTTTTGGGGGGTCCTGGGGTCACTGGGAGGGTCCCAGGGTTGGATTTAGGGGTTTTGGGGGGGGGGGGCTCTTGGAGTGATTCTCAGGGGCACATGGTGGGTCCTGGGGTCTGAACGCCCCCCCTGACCCCCCCTTTTCCCTCCCACAGCCACCCCCAGACCCCCCCACCCTGACCCAGTGGCTGGAGCTGCTGGTGGGGCCCCGCCCTGAGGCACCCCAAAAGTCCAGACCCTGCTGAAAATGGGGGACCCTCCCCACAATAAACCCTCTGCAACTTTCTCCACCCCAAAAAAACCCCCTGTGCCCCCCCAGTAAACCCACTGTACCCCCCAGTAAACCCACTGCCCCCCTAATAAACCCCCCAATGAACCCACTGCCCTCCGCTCCTGGCTCTGTGTCACCCCCAAACAAAGGGGGTTCCCAGGGGGGTTGCAGGAGCAGCTTTATTGGGGTGGGGGGTGGGATGAGGGGGGTCTGGGGGTGCAGGGAGTTCCCCCCCCGTGCGGGGGTCCCTACGGGGGGGGGTCCCCACGCCGCTTGGGCTGGTTCCGCTCGGGGTGCAGGAGGATGACGTAGACCTTGGGGGCGTAAAGGAGCCCCAGGGGCACCGAGGCCGAGAGGCTCATGGACACCGTCAGCGTGGCCATCTGCACGTGGACCTGCCCCCCAGAAACGGGACCTCAAAACTTACTGAGCCCTGAGACCCCCAACCCAAACCCCATCACCCCCTGAACCTCCCCAAACCCAACCACCCCCCACCCTAGGGCTCACGGATACCATCAGCGTGGCCATCTGCACATGGACCTGCACCCCGAACACAGGGGAACCCCAAATCCTGCTGACCCCTGAACCGTGTGTGTGCCTCTAGGGACCCCAAAAACACCCAGGGACCTCACAGATACCCCTTGGGGACCCCCAAACCCCCTCCTCACCCTCTCAGTGAACTGAGCGGCCCTGAAGATGGGCCCAAAGGCAAGCACAGACCACGTGTGTGCCCCCAGGGACCCCAAATACCCCCCCAGGGACCCCAAAACCCCCTCAAGAACCGCCCCCGAATACCCCCAGGGACCCCAGCTCGCCCCTCAGCTCACCCTGTCAGCGGACTGGGCGGCCCCGAAGAAGATGGGCCCGAAGGCGAGCCACACCACGCACGTGGTGTACATGGCGAAGCCGATGGGCTTGGCCTCGTTGAAGGTCTCGGGGACACCGCGGGCCTTGACGGCGTACACGGTGCAGGTGAGCATGAGCAGCAGCGCGTAGGCCAGGCAGGCCAGCGTGGCCCCCTCGGCCATGTCGCACCGCAGGACCCCCCGCGCCGCCTCGGGGTCGGGGGTCCGGCCCATCTCGTAGTCGATGAGGGCGTGGGGCGGCCGCACCAGCAGCCACGTGGCCGCCGCCACCAGCTGGAGGCCGCTGAGAGTGAAGGTGATCACCAGCTGGGACGTGGGGCTGATGAACCGCGGCGGCGTCACCGAGCGCTTACCTGGGGGGGACACGGGGTCAGGGGGCACCTGGGCACCCCCCAGGACACACCTGGTTTAAGGTGTGGTGGGTCAGCGTAGGTGGGACCCCACCCCACATCCCTCAGCTTCATCTCCAGGGTCCCTTCCCAGCCCCCTGTGTGTCCCCAGGTGTCACCTGGGCACCCTCAACCTCTCGGGCCGCCCATAACTCCCCTCTCCTGGTGACGCTGTACCCGTTGCTGGTCTGGGTGAGGAGCACAGGCTTGGGGGACACCCCGTCCCACGTCCCTCAGCGCCTGCCCCTCACCTGGCTCCCCACACCCCTGTGTCCCCCTATGCCACCCCTCTGTCCCCTCATCCTGCTCGAAGATGTGGTAGATGTTGGTCTCGGTGAGCAGGGCGGCGTAGGTGGGACCCCATCCCTCATCCCCTGTGCCCCCCACACTCCCCCAGCCCCTCACCCTGCTCAAAGATGCGGTAGATGCGGTTGGTCTTGGTGAGCAGGGCGGCGTAGGTGAGGCTCATGCCGAGCCCCAGGAAGAGGCGGCGCAGGGCGCAGACGCCCACGCCGGGCTCGGCCACCATGAGGAAGGTGATGGCGTAGACCAGGGCGATGCCCGCCAGCAGGACGTAGCTGAGCTCGCGGCCCGACGCCTTCACGATGGGCGTGTCGTGGTGGCGCACGAAGGTGGCCAGCACGAAGGCCGTGGCCATGAGCCCCAGCGTGGCCAGGGCCACCGGCACGGCGGCGCAGGGGTCGCCCCAGCTCAGGCGCAGCACCGGCGTGGGCCGGCAGGCCGTGCGGTCGGGCGTGGGCCGCAGGTGGGAGGCGCAGGGCAGGCAGGTCAGGGGGTCGGCGCGGTACTGGTACCCCCCGCAGAGCTCGCAGTGCCAGCAGCACGGCACCCCCTTCACCGGCTTCTTGCGCTCGCCGGGGCCGCAGGGCAGGCTGCACACCGAGGGGGGCGGCGACGTGGAGTTGGACCCCCATGCCATGGCATCCTCCTGGGAGGGGGATGCAGGGTGAGACCCCACAGACCCCCTGAACCCACCACAGACCCCCCCCACATGGCAGGTTGCACACCGAGGGAGGGGGAGACATCAAGTTGGACCCCCATGCTGTGGCCTCCTCCTGGTGGAGAACAGGGTGGAAGACCCCCCATGGACCCCCAAACATCCCATAGACACCCCCATGGACCACCCCCATGGACCCCCCAAGCCCCCCATAGACACCCCACCCACTCAGGGGAAACAAGGGAACCCCACCAACCAGAGCCCCCAGTTGGCCACTGGGACCCCACCAGTTGACTGTGGGAGGGCACCCATGGGGGAGTCAGGGGCATTCAGGGGGGTTTTGGGGGTTCAGGGGGTTTGGGGGCTCAGGGGTGGGTTGGGGGTGACTCAGGGGGAAATTAGGGGCTCAGGGGGGGTTCAGGGGTCCCACCCTGGGGGTCCCAGCCCCACCTGCAGGCGCAGCCCCTGCACCCACTGCCCCACGGCCCTGTAGGCGCCGGTGCCGTTGCCCCCCTGGAACTGGAAGATGTCGTAACGTCCCGGGGCGTCCCCATTCTCGTTGAAGGACACCGGGGTGCCCGCGCTGCCTGCACACCAGTATGGACCAGTATGGATCAGTATGGACCAGTATGAACCAGCACAGACATGTACAAATCACCAACCCCCAGTGCCATCCCGCAGTAAAGCTCAGTGACACCCCAGCACCAACATACCCCACTGGCAAACCAGTGCTCCCAGTATGGCCTCCCAGTTCATCACATTAAGGCCCCCCAATCCCTCCCAGTGCTCCTCAGTCCCTTTCCAGTGCTTCCCAGTTCTTCCCAGTACATCCCAATAAGGCCCAGTACGGTTTCCAGAGCCCCTCAGTATGTCCCAGTGTGGCCTTCAGTGCCCCCCAGTCTCCTCCAGTTTGTCCCAGTATGGCATTCGCTGCACCCCATCTCCCTCCCGGTGCCTCCCAATTATATCCCAGTGCCTCCCAGTATGGTCTCCAGTGCTCCCACCCCTCTCCCAGTGCCCCCCCCAGCCCATCCCAGTGCCCCCAGTACCGTTGAAGGCCACCCTGCGGATGTGAGCGAGCAGCTGGCGGCCATCGGGGGGGTCCATGCTGGGGCAGAGCCCCCCGCCCGGGCAGGCCTCGCCCAGCAGCGAGTGCAGCCCGTGGGCCATGGCCAGGACGGCGTCGATCACGAACTGCACCTTCCCCTCCTGCTCGTAGGGCGAGTCCCGGCCGATCCGCTCCCGGCCTGGGGGCACGGGGGGGGGTCAGGGTGGAGGGGGTTTCACGGACCCCCTGGGACTACCACGGCTGGGGGGCACCGGGGGTGGGACCTTGGGGAGGGGAGGGAGGCTCTGCCCCACACGGGGGGATCCAGGGACCTGCAGGTGTCCCGTAAGTTGGGGGTGTCACCTTGAGGTGACCCTCGGGGGGGTCTCTGTGGAGTGAGGGGGGGGGGGTCAGGGGGTGGCCGTACCTGTGCACTTGCGCACGGGGGTCCCGGCCCCGCCTGGGCCATCCCCATCGCCCCCCCCGTGGGGGAGGCGACAGTTGAAATCGTCCTCCCAGAACTCGTGGAACCAGAGGTTGCGCCGGTTGTTCTCCAAGGACCGGGACGTGAAATACTCGTCAAACCCTGGCGGGGCACAGGGGGAACCCAAAGGGTCACGGGGGCACCCAAGCATCATGAGGGACCCCACAGGGTCACAGGGTGTCCCACAGAGTTACTGCCCCCCCCCTCAGTGTCCTGGGGTGCTCTGCAGCCCCACAAGCTGTCCCATAACTCTGTAGGGCAGCAATGGAAGGGCAGGAAGGTGAAACAACCCTCCCCAAACACCTCCCCCCACCCTGAATGACCCCTCCCCCTCATGGCCCCATAGGGTGCCCCCCGGAGCCCCCTGTACCCCTCAGTGCCCCCAGACTCACCAGGCACTGAAGGTTGGGCAGGATGATGATGGGACCCTCCCCCAAAGGGTGCCCCCACAGCCCCATAAGGTGCCCCCACAGCCCCTCCAAAGCCCCCAGACTGACCTGGCACCGAGGCCCTTTTGGGCAGGATGGTGATGGCCCCGTGAGCCGCCTCCTCCAGCCCCTGCACCGGGGCCATCTTGGCCCCCCAGCTGTCCGAGCCCACCCAGGAGAAGTGGCCCGACAGGTTGGCCAAGGTGGCCGCCTCCAGCACCCGCCTGTGGGGACAGTGTCACTGGGGGCACTGGGACCGACTGGGAGGGGCTGGGAGGGGACCTGGAGGGACTGGGGGAGTTTGGGAAACACCAGGATGCACTGGTTTGGACCGGGGGGCTACTGGGAGGGACTGGGAGGGGACGGACTTGAATGGACTGGGGGGGAACATGAAATCACTGAAAGGGGACCTGAAGGGACTGGGGGGCTACTAAGAGGGACTGGGAGCTACTGGGTATGGTCTAGGATGGACTGCAAAGGATTGGGATGAACTGGGGTAGACTGAGGAGCACTGAGGAGGGACTGGGAGGCTGCTGTGGGGGATTGAGGCAGTGCAGGGCAGGACCAGTCCATACTGGTCCGTACTGGTCCATACTGGGCTCACCGGATGTCGTCCTCGTTAGCGAACAGCACCACCCCCCGCGCCGTCGACGTCTCCATCAGGCGCCCGATGACCTTCGCGAACTCGCCCGGGCGCGGCTCCCGCGGGATCTTGATGGACTGGGCGATGCACAGGCCCCCTGTGCCAGCACAAACCAGTATGGACCGGTATGGACCGGTAAGAACCAGTACAGACTGGTACTGCCCCCCCAGACTCCAGTGACTGACTGGGGGTCACTAAGAGGGCAGCGCCTCCCCCTCCCTGCAGGACCCGCCCTCCCAGCACATCCCAATTTAACCCAGTGCCCTCCCAGTATAACCCAGTCACTTACTGGTCCCAGTGTCCCAGCAGTGGGGACCACAGGGGAGAATGGAGCTTGCCCTCCCGGTGCTCCCAGTAC